TGTTTTTTTTTTTTTTTTTTTTCGATGATCGAGTTAACTATTTGCATTTTTGATTAATAAATAGACATTGGTGGGTTATACAAGATTGACTTCAACGTAAATTTCAAAATATTTTTACTGTTTTTATTACACAATTTCGGTGAACACAGAAAAAAAAAACTGCATACAGTATCGCTAATCGGTGTCAAAATATACCCTAACACCATTTTATCCGTAAATGAAAAACCATTAAATGACATAAAACAATATTACATTTTTATCAATTGGACAGATGTCTTCGTTAATATATTACAATCCTTTTTACTGAGATTTGTTACATATCCGTAATGCGCCGAAACAAACGTGTCGAACTGTTATGAAATACCAACTACCAAACTACCAATAATGCATAAAAAAAAAAAAAATTAAAACAATATGGATGTATAAAATGTCCGCACCTATATCCACCGATCCCTCCGACTGCGGCCGCCGGAGGTGTGTTTACACAGTTAAAATCGGTTGCCCGCATTTGCCGAACGTCGGGCTGTTTTGCCGGATTTCAGCTTTAACGTAGTTTTCCTAAACGCGTGCGGAAAATCTACACGCCAACGACGTTAGGCGCACGGGAAACGAGACGATTTAATTTAACGGGCTCACGTCCGTCGCGTTACGGTCGATTATAATACAATCGGCGAACTCGAAAAATTATTTTCCTATAGAATGCCCCGACTGCTATCAACAAGTCCAAAACTAAATTTCTATTATGCAGTAGTTGTCGCTCCGAGTCACGCGCTCAATCACACTCGCAGTCGTTCGAAGCGGGAGCCGCTGTGCCGGGTGGTACATTTTAAGTACTTTGCGAACTTTATCGTCAGTATTACACGGGGAGACAGATAGCTGGCGAGGAATTATCTCGAGAAAGGTTACCTACTACCGTCTGAATGTACAGACAGTACACTCGGATAATATGCGCATATCGGAATTCGCCGCTGTACCTTTGGTCCCGGTGATGATGGGCTCGAGTCGATTTTCGGAAAATTCTGTTTTTATTGTTTTTGCGAAATTACTAAAAATTAAAATATTTTTCATGCAATTAAAACGTTTCTAAGCCTGTTTAGGTTTGGCCTTTAGGAAATTTAGCGATTTGTACATTTTCAATATTTATTTGGTTCGTATTAAAAACTAATCGAAATTGCGATTATTCCCTTACTTAAGATTTAAGTGACACCGGCCTTACATCAGCATAAATTACACACACACACACACACACATACACACATACATACATACAGACAATATAATAAATATATATTATACAGGCTGATTCAAGGCTGGAAATACAAAATTGTTGACTTCGAAAATTATTTTTGCGTAATTGAAAAACGAACAAATTTCCGGTAAAAAAATTAATTTAAAATGTTTGTATCTGGTACTTTTGGCCGGTAACTGTAAATTTTAGTTTGGAATTATTGGAATCGATCTTTTAGAATTCAACGGTTTCTTTAATATTTAAAATGAACCTATAGATTTGTTAATTTAATTATTTTAAATGTTAATTAATACAATAGCATCTCGTATGTCTAAGAAACACGTTTACAATTTTATTATATTGTTCAATAACATTTCAGTCGGGAAAACGACGACCGAACAATAATATTCTCATGCAGTTTTTATACGATTTGTAAATCGTATACTTTATTCGGGTAATTTCGTCAATGAATGTCGAATACCGATTATTTTTACTATGAAGGAACTATCAGAACGGTGGTGACGACCCCGTAAGTAGACGCGCCAGAATGTTTAGTCACTGATATTCTTGATTTCTCCGAAAAGCCGGTACAAAAGTGCAACCGATGAAACAACGAGAGGGATAATTTAAACGAAAATATTGTGGATGCATCAATTTTTATTTGTGTACGCATATTGGCCCTAATTTTCAATTTATTTACGTGTTGCCAAAATACAGATAATTTTAGAGAAGTTTGCAATTTGCACGTTTTTCGGGCAGCAAACTGCATAGAAATAACGCTGAAGAAAAATTTCAAATTTCAATTAAATTAATTCAAATTTGTTGAGCGTTGATCATCAATCAAAATTACAATTAAATTACTGAACAATATTCAGTAGATTACAATAGATACGTTTTGACCGTAGATACCACATAATTAACAAAAATATTAATAATATTTCCTTTGTCATCAAGGTAACCTAATCAACAAAAATTATAGCACAAAATACTAAAATCCCTGTGTCAGTTATTTTTTAGGGGTTGAATTTCAGAAATTTCAATAGCTTTAAACCTCCGAATCATGCAGAACATTGTGCAAAAACTCCGTTAAAATCGGTCCAATAGTTTTCGAGTCAATAAAGGACATAAAGATAGCCATTAATTTTATATATTTATATAGATTATGACATTGCGTCACGTAGTTTAGAATATTTTCGGACGATAATTTCAATTTTGGTCGTACAAAACTTCATCAAATAGCCTTGTTGGAAACGCATCACACGGGTCAAAACGCTCTAATGTAAAACCGATGTCTCCTTTTTTCAATTCCAAGCTTGCAAAATCAAAACCTATACTTTTATAATGATTCGTTTTTTATTATTATGTTTTTTTTTTTTTATCAATCCATAGTGCATTTCATTTTCCAAAAGGACTTTAAGTCCGATTAAAAGTCGACAATCTGTATAAAACATAAATATATATAAAAAATAAAATCGGATTACTTTTTAAAATCAGCACACCCGCGTGGCTTATATTATTAAGTAGGTAGGTACCCAACAAAACCCAGATTATTTATCTCATTTATGACATAGCTTTTAACACCACTGTGCTTAAAATATCTGATATAGTATATTGATGTCGGAATAAAGGAATGAAAGTTTTTACTTCATGTCATTCCGAAAAAAAAAAAAGTAAAATATAATCCACAATAGATTCACGTAAACAATTTGATGAATACCTTTCAGGTATTCATTTGTTAAGTGAAAAAAAAAAAAAAGAAAATCAAAACGCAAACAAAAATATAAGAGAGTACACAGTTTAATGGTTGGTACACCCGAATCTTATTTTATATGAAAAGAAAATTCCAAACAAAATTAACAAATTCCGAAATTCTAAGTGTATAAAAAGAGAAAAACAGAACTATTGCATAGAGAATATACTGTCACATTCTGTAAATAATTGAGCTATTAAATACGCGCTATATGGCTATCGAAAAATCGTTTACATGTTTTTTAGATTCAGAGCGATTAACTATAAGATGTTTTAATAAAATGATTATTTTTTCTTTCTTATTTTTCTAGACTGTAGACACGTTTTTTCATAGTAAACTTGAAATGATTTTTACGCGTAACAATTTTTTTAAAAGCTCAAGTTGTCTAAATGGTACTTTAAAGAGGTCATTTGTAGAATTTTGACACGATTTTTTTAAATAAAAGCTCTTAATGGGGAAAAAACGTAAGAAAACATACAATTTCAAGATTTCATTATATTATAAAAACACGGAAATTTTTTACCAAACGAAATGATTTAATTGAAAAATTACAAGACTCTTTTTTGTTGCTTTTGATTTATCTTCCTATGGTATAACTGCTAAAACTTTTGAACACTTTTTAGCTTTTAAAGGAATTTTAAATTTTGGGAATTTTTTTGCTGTAATTCGGTTATAAACGCTTTTTTATTTTTTTAATGAGCTTTTTGAAACCAAATTTAAAAGAAAATTGCCAAACTATTACGGTAAATCAAATTATGTATTAATGAACTGCGCTCCATATCGTCTTTCGTTAAGTAATGGTTTATCGTTCCTTACAGATATAAATGAAATAACCTTATGTATTCTATTTTCCCAATTTCTCACCTACCACGGTGGCCGCTTCCATCCCCACTATTAGATCTTTTTTTATATACTATAGACCACTTTTAGCCTAGAAAACTTGCTCTGATATATAATATTAGCACCTTTTATGAAAGTAAATTTGAACTACTTGGTAAATACATGGGTTATTTTTTGATTTTCAAAAAGGTATTTGAAATAAAAACGATTAGCCGGGAAAAATATACGGCTTTTTCATGATTCCGTTTTTTTTAATTAGTACCTACCACGTTTTTTTAGCACAAATATGGCTCCAATTGAAAAACGTAAAGAGACCTTTTTTTTTTGTTGAATTATTAATTTTGTTTTTAATGATGCAGTTCGTTTTTTTGATTTTTGAATTAGTTTTCATAATAGTTCGGAAAGAACATAGGAAAAACCTACAATTTCACGATATCATTACTTTACATTATTACGGAAAACGTTTGTGATTAAGAAAAGTGTTTCAATCGAATAATGACGAGACACATTTTTGTTTTAATGTACATCTTGTTTTTTACGGCGCAAGTCGTTTTTTGATTTCATAATGATTCGGAAAAACCAAAAAAAAAGACGAAATTGTTGAAATTTAGTTAAAAATATTTGTAGTGACTTGAAAAATGGACAGATTGCTCACATTTCGTTGTTTACTGAATATCTGATTAAATAATTACTGAATATCAAAAATTTGACAAAATATTTATAATTTTAGCTATGATTGCCGGCAATTTATAATCAGGGAAATTCTCTGTGAATTTAATGATTATACAATTGTTGATAAAAATGATAACAGCATTTATATCAATAGTAAAGTTGTTTTTTGGCGATTAAGTAAAAAATTACGACACTTCAAATTATATATTACCAAACTGTGCTCGAAATCGTTTTTCGTCAGCAATGGTTTATCGTTACTTAATAGATATAAATGAAATAACCATATCTATCCTACCTTCCCGAGTTCTCACTTACAACAGTGGCTGCACCCGTCCCCAGTGTCAGCTTTTTTTTTGTTGTGTTTGTAAACAACTTTTCTTCCAGAAATCTCGCTTCAGTCAAACTATAATATATTTTGTAGGAACTTTGTTTTAACATTTCTTTTCTAGTTGCAGGTAAATCAAGCATTTGACATTTTTAAATTTTCCTAGTAATTTTCCCAATAAATGGGAAAAGCCGCTAATTTTTGTACGGTTTTCGTTGACTAGATTACTTTGGACACAATTCAAACAACCGGCTTATAATATTCCGTTTAGAATCAATTTACATCAGTAATAGTTTATTGGTGAATAATTTATATATCTTCCTTAACAATTTCCCTGCTAAAATATTGGCACGTCCATCGGTGGTATCGGCTCTTTTTTTTATTCGTTTTGAAATTAACTTTTATTGGATTATTTGGGTGCACTTTTTCAAATATTTAATGTTATTTTATTCATTAGTTATTTCGGACCATTGCAAGTGTATTTATTTATTATTATTTCGAAGTTCATTCAATTTTAATGCCCGTAATATTATCTCTGTATTATACAAAAAAAAATGTTTATATTTATAATTTCCATAGTTTAATACAATTAATTAATTGTAATCAATTGCAATTAAAAATACGTTTACGTATTTTGTTTACGTCATCGTGGTAACGAGTTACGGAGATAGACGAGCGAAGCGATCACGGGGCATAGGCCCCCAAGTATATTGTTCTAAAATACCCATTGGCCTGAAATGGACATTTTTTCCAATCTTCTTTCTTAACGAATGTATCGGAGACGCGTTTCAAAAAACAATACGGAAGATTTGTATACTTCTAATGGTCGTGATTTTAATCATTATTCATTATGCCCGAACAAAGTGGTTTAATCGCTTTATTTTTTTGCAATATATTTGTATAATATTATACACACGGCATACATATTTTCTACTCTATTTAATACACGTATAATATATTATTTATTTATGTTGAGAAGTTCCGTTAAAATTCGAGTTAAAAGTGTTCTACGTTTGCGCCGCCGTAGTAAAATAAGCAGATAAGCCGACACGATACGTATTTAAAATCGCCGCTGCCGCCGGAAAATAATAAATTATAATCATTTGAATAATATTATAGCGTAACGAAACAAATGTTCACTATAAATATTCACGTACAAAACCTATATCAACGCGGCGCTATAAGAATTGCGGAATTTATATTATAAAATTTACAGCAACGGCCGTCGACGCGACGACGATGGTAACGTTCATTTTAAAAAAGCGACGGAGGTTTTCAGTGGTTATCAGCTATAAAAATCACAAAAAAATGCCTTCGTTTATGACGGCGATAACGGCCCTATATTTCCTTATTATTATAGGCTGACGAAGAAAATTCCACTACTGGTCGCCTGCTGCAAATAACATTAATATGTTATTAACGTATACGTAACACCGAGTAACATTCTGATAATAGTATCTATCCTGTTCAAGGGGAAAAGAACAGCTCTAATAGGCACTCACATCAAGACCGTAATGCAAAAAAAAAAAATTCAAGGAGAGCGGGGGTCATCCAAAATACGGTTGACATAATTTACACTTAATTTTTTTTTACTTCAAACGCGTACACCACTGGAGAAATCTTTCCCCAGCTACAAAGAACCGTGACAATATAATTCATGTGGAATTAAAAAAAAAAAAATAATAACCCAAAAGGAGTTATTATAATATCACCCTACATCCCGAATTCACCGTTTTTCAACAATGGTTTTCTTAAATATTATAAAATTAATCTACGGTTTACGAAATTAGAATTCTTGTGCGGCGGAAAATCGAAAAACTAAATTAAATACATTTTACATTCCGAACGGATATTTAAAATTTGTTCTGTTTGGCAACAAGTGTTTTAACAAATAGACGTGACTTGTTCAAATAAAAATCTATGCTTAAGATACTACACTAATATATGTTCATCGCGTTATATTTGGACACATACAGTATTGAACATTATCTAGATAAATTAACAATTATCTTTTAACAATGTAGATAGTCAAAAAAAAATTGCGAATTTGATGGATCTTAAATGAGACATTGTGTCGTTTAACTTAATCTATTCCGATAAATTAATGTTAGGCATATTTTTGCAAAAACTTAAACGGGACAGAATTAAAAATATAAAATAATAATAATTTTACATGTTGCTTATGTTCACCCGACTTCTAATTCCATACGACCCGATACGGGTACTATGGTCGTAATGTGACGTGTAGATCATAGTCCATAGTTATCGTAATAAGTTCACTAGACAATAAAATACACACACACCCCGATGATATTGCGATTGATTTTCGTCTTCTCAATTCCAATTATACAGTTAACATAAATGCATCGCTTTCCCAAAATAGTATAATTGGTTAGCATGTACCTATTAATCAGTGTCTCTTTCAGCTATGTTTCGGGTAAGAGGCCTGTGCCCCGTTTATATTTACACGATAGAGTGTCGGTGATATTAAAGTACACATTTTTTATATTTTATTTGATCCAGATGTTAATAGCGGTATATGTTTTTATCTTTGTCTAGATAATTTAGATTTTTTACTATTTTTTATCTGTATCTAGATAAATCGTATCCAAATAGCTTTCGTCGTTATGTATTTAGTTCAGTGTACCTACGACGTTTATTGTATGACGCGGCCGCATTCGAAATTTTCGTTAAGTTTTTGTTTTTCGCTTTCTCCCCCTCGTGACGACCGATAACACGACGATAATGTTATAATATTACAACGGGGCATGGGGTTTTCAGCGCGACTCGCCCCGTATAATGCAGCGCGCCACGATTGTTATTGTCGTTTCAGAAGAGATTCGCCATAAAACATTTCCCGTATAGCCCGGTTCGATATAATAATAATAATAATACAGGTGAGGTAGTTAGTTTTAGTTCCCGCATACACAGCTTAATGGGTACATAGTAGAGTCGTACGGTCGTGTGCAAACGATTCGGCGAGAGGTCCGCGATAGCTGTTGTGTTTCTTGTGTTTCCGTACAATAATAATAATAATCATAATAATAATAATACGTGTGTATGCAAGTGCGTGTACTACAAACAATTGTGTGTGTGTGTGTGTGTGTGTGTGTGTGTAATTAATGCGGGTTAATATCCATTGTGTCGTAAATGTTTACAGGACGGTCGTAATGACACACCGTAATCGCGAAATGTATAGGTTGGTAACTAATATACAATCAACATTTCCCGACCCGTTTTATATGCGGTACGCAAGGCGATCAATCCTCGATAAGGCACGCGTTATCTCGAGCAAAGTATTGACTTTTATTATTATTTTGTAATGTTTTTTTTTTTTTTTTTTTTTTTTTTTTGTGCGTCTGTTCATACAGTT